TTAAAATAATTTATTCATATTAAATTATGTTTCATAGCTAAATATTTTATGTTAAATGAAAGCCCTGGTTCCCCTGAATAAAATGATATATAATAAGTGTGTGTGGATTTATTACGAAAGAGGTGAATTCAGTGGCGTACACACAATCCATGGGGCCCCGGTGCGAAACTGATCTGTGGGCCCCCCCCTCCCTCCCTCTTGCCCTCCCGCCCGACAGACACACACACACACACACACACACACACACACATACATACATACATACATACACACACATAGACACATACAGGCAGACAGATACATACACACATACAGACATACAGACACATACATACATACATACAGACCAACACACACAGACACATACATACATACAGACCAACGCTGACCGGGCCCCCTTACAATCCATATCCATCGGGTGGCCCTGACAGCGGTTTGGACGGCGGCCCCAGCGGTTTGCCGGGTGGGCCGGGGCCTCAAATGGTGATGGCAGGTACCCGGTCACAGGAGTCCGCAGGGCAACCGGGCCCCCTCGAGTGTGTGTATGGGGGGCAGTGTCTGTGTGTGGGGGCAGTGTGTGTATGGAGGGCAGTGTATGTGTGGGGGAGCAGTGTGTGTATGGGGGCAGTGTATTGTGGGGGGTGTGTGTATGGGTTAGTGTATAGAGGCAGTGTGTGTGTATAGGGGCAGTGTATGGGGCAGTGTGTGTATGGGGCAGTGTGTGTATGGGGGGAAGTGTATGTGTGGGGGGGCAGTGTGTGTATGGGGTGCAGTGTGTGTATGGGGGGCAGTGTGTGTGTATGGGGAGCAGTGTATGTGTGGGGGGGCAGTCTGTGAATGGGGGACAGTGTATGTGTGGAGGGGCAGTATGTGTATGGGGGACAGTGTATGTGTGGGCTGTTTATGGGGGGCAATGTGTGAATGTGTGGTTAGGAGGGTAAGGGGACTTTTTGATAAAAATAATGTATAAAATTTCTCCATCCCTGGTGGTCCGGTGGGGATTCCCTGTGGCCCCAGTGGTGGTGAGAGTTTACTCTAGCCCGCGCTCCTGGGCTAGAGTTCACTCTCGCGAGATTTGGAGCATTGCCAAATCTTTGCTGAGATTTTTCCCTCCTTCCCATGGAGCAGGCTCCTCCTTTAATGGAAAAGGACAGGTAGGAATAAAAAAAAAATGACAAGGAGAAATACCAGTACCGGAAGATCCCTATGACTTGCGCAAATTGGCGATTGCAATCCTGGCCTGTGTAACTGGGGAAAGGGCTCCACAGAAGTGCTCCGCATTGTTCTGCTACCAGGATACCATTTGGAACGCTTGTCGTACCTATGGCAGTCTGGGATGGTGGAAATATGACGAGCAGTTCTGTCAACAGTTGGCGGTGCGCCCTCAATTTCGTGGGAACAGATTGACATTGGCCTCTGGCCCTCCACTGTGAGCTGCATGGCCCCCCAGCAGGGTGCGTTCTCGTCCTTTCTCAGGGGGGTGGTGGGGGGGTCCTACTCCTCACCGGCCACACATCGGAGGCCGGGCTGTTGTTGAAATTCAACGACAGTCACTGCAAATGGGGGGCATCTTGCTGTTTCTAGCACGAATGTTCCACTTGGGGATTTGGGGTCAGAGGGCGATGGCACCAGTGGTCATGAGCGCGATACGCCCTTGGCTCTCCAGTTTATAGAAATCGTCGGGTGGCGTCCTACTGGATGGGTTGAGCATGGGTTTTGGACAAATACCGTCTGATTCACCATTTATTGGGGGTTTGGGGAATGACAACATCTCTTGGGAACTCTGACGGGTATCTTATGCATCCTTTGACGTGGCGGTTGATATGGTCAGGGCCATGGGCCCTGGGGCCTTGTTGGGCCAGGGCTGATGTGGATTCGGCCTTCCGTCTACTGTCAGTGCACACGGGATGTCACCATCTTCTGGGCTGTGTTTTTTGTAGGCATGTATTACGTGGATATGTGCCTCCCTATGGGTAGTTCCATATCCTGTTGTTACTTTGCATGCTTCAGCACGTTCTTGGACTGGGTGGTGAGGGAGGAGGCTTGTATAGTCTCCTTGCTACACTACCTCGATCATTTCATTTGTGTGGGTCCTGCCGATTCGACAGCCTGTTCGCTGCTGCGACGGGTTCTGGGTGAGGTGTTCCATTAGTTTGGGATCCCATTGGCACATGGCAGGACGGTGGGCCCGGTCACTTTCTCAGCTTTCTGGGCATTGAGATTGACTCTTTGGCGTGGGACTGCCGCTGGCTTTTGAATAAGATTCAAGGCTGGCGGCGCGAAGGGGCCTTGGCTATGGGGCGGTGCGATATTCAGCTGCGCTGCCTGCAGTTGCTCCTGGGTGAGCTGAATTTTGCCGGATCATGCCCGTGGGGCGGGTCTTTAACCGGCGTCTGGCTACGGTGACAGCCGTGGTCTCCGGGCCTTGCCATTTCATTCGGCTCACTTGGCTGCTGCGGGAGAATTTGGGAGTCCTTCTTAGTTGCATATCATGGCCGGTCCTGCTGGCAAAGGCCGGAGGTTTCTAACGCCGACCTCCACCTATTTACGGACGCAGCTGGCGTGGTGGGGTTTGGGGCCATTCTGGGCTCTAATTGGTGTGCTCCCGTGTGGCTGGACAGTTGGCATGTCTCTGGGCTCACAGAGAATCTGGGCTTTTTGGAGCATTTCCCCATTTTGGTGGTGGGGGAGGTCTGGCAGTCACGTTTCAGGATCTCATGGTAGTGTTTCACTGCGACAATTTGGGGGTTGTTCAAGCCATTACTTGGCTGACAGCCTTCTTCCCTCGCTTGCTTAAGGGGCAATCGCCTCGCAGGCGGATCTGGAGGGGACGCCTTGGCCGGCAGACAGTCTGGCAGAGTGACGGAATGGGTCCGTGGATCGATTTCCACGGCCACCTGGACTCTATGCTCCTGGGGGCCGTGCATGTTGGGGTTTTGGTGATTCCTAGTAGGCCATGCGGTGGTGGGGTATTGTTTGCCAACAGTCGGCGCCCTGCAGATCATATCACTATAAGTATTTGACAATCCAGGTCGAATGTTGTTTCGGGAAGGGTATGGCGGTTCGGCTGTTGCACTTTTCCTTTGTAGAGAACTGTGAGCTGCGCCCAGTATGCACGGGCCCTCTTTTGGGTTATGCGGATGTGATTTATTTTTATTTTTTCCTTCCCATTCCCAATTTTTGGGTCTTTCGCTCAATTCTGATGGTTCTGGGGACTGTCAGCAAAGAATCTTGTGTCATTCCTTTCGGTTTTGCGCTGCCTTGGAGGCTTTGAGAATAGGTATGTCAGCGCACGTGGTGCAAAGAACCGGGAGGGGGTATGGTTAGATTTCTCGGTAAAGTAATGCTGGTTTCGTGGAATTTGTTCAATCCTTGGGGGGGTTCGGGTTCAATTCTCAGCGGCGGTGGCTCATCCATTCATTCCTTTAAGGTAGATAAATGAGTACCAGTTCCTTGGGTACACTTGGAAAACAGATAATATCTGGATGTCCTTTTCCTGGTTATACTCCCAGATGAGATGCGGTTGTCCGTCTGGGAGGTGAGCTTTTGGGTTGTGAGCCTTCTGAAGCGGAGGTTCGTTGGTCTGGTGCCGGAGGTATGAAATGTGTTCGGCTCCTCCCGGAGCAGGTTCAGCTGTCCCTAATGTTCGGGTTATCCACCTGGCGGGCATTGAGCTTGGGACGATACCAAGGTGGTTTTTTGGCGTCTGCCCCTAAGAGGGTATTGGTGCGTGTCTTTTGGCAGCGGGCCCATAATCAGTGCATGGTACACTGCCGTATGAAGCAAAATTGGAGGGCCTTTCGAGGTGTTTGAAGGTAAGGGGATTTTGGTTTGCCACAGGGTGTTGTCGCGCATGTGCCAGCTACTGTGTTTCTGGGTGATGAAGGTCCGGCTAGACCATTTTTCGTCTTGCCATGCAGAAAGTGGTGGAACAGGCCTGGTTGGTTTTGGTGGGGCTCACCGCTGATTTTAGGTTTAAAACAGCGGGGTTTGTGGCGGGGAGCGTGTCCTTGCCAACAGGGTTGGGGAGCAGATGGAATGTCAGGAGATGGACATGGTGGGTCTCAACCTCCCCTGCTCTGTAAGGTAAACTTTTGAGTTACCGAATAGGACGTGCCCACCGAGCAAAAAGCCGGCTGGTGGTAGAGCATTTAAGATGATGGGAATTTTTGGTTTGGACGAGGGGGGAGGCGAGACACCAGTGGGTAAATTTTTGGTGTATAGGCACCGGGTTAAGTTCGTTGGCAAGGACGGTTATTTAAGTTGGAGGCTGTAGGGCAATAAGTGTAATTTATATGTTAATTTATATGTTAATTATGGTATGTATATATATTTATCTGTTTATTTATATTTGAATTAAAGAAAAAGAATAAAGTTCGGATGAGTCCTACAGTTGTAAGTTTAATAAATGCTGTGTCCTGATTCATCCAATATTCATTGTTTGTCATTATTGGGGGGAGAATTGGGGTAGTCTCCTTACTCTTAGTCGCACCACATTCCCCGCTACGTACATACATGCAGCCACCAGCACACCTGACCCAACTGTCTGCCCTGCAAGACTCCTGCCCGATCGCCCACAGGTAGCTATATTATGTGTCAGTCTGTCAGTGTGTGTGTGTCTGTGTATGTGTCATGGTGTGTGTGTGTGTCATGGTGTGTCTGTCTGTCTGTCATGGTGTATGTCTGTGTCATGGTGTGTGTGTGTCATGGTGTGTCTGTCTGTCTGTCATGGTGTATGTCTGTGTCATGGTGTGTGTGTGTCTGTCTGTGTCAAGGTGTGTGTGTGTCTGTCATGTTGTGTGTGTGTGTGTGTGTGTGTCTGTTAAGAAATGTGTGTGTCCACAAAGCAGAATTAATATAGCCTGTATCCCTCACACTCGATAAGCGAATACAGCCTTTTTACACAATCATAGCATTAAGCCCTATTCACAGGTCCGGCAGGACCCATGCCAGATACCCACACATTTAGACGTGCCTTAGGTCCACGCCACATATACCATGCCACTACTAAGCCTATGGGCACCCACAGCACTGACCGAGCCCCACCAAGCAGGTCACCCTCCCTGATGTGCCATTCGTTAATGCCACACGTAAATTCACACAAACGAGCTTCAGGGCACTCACCGCCATAGGAAAGGAGCCCCCCCAACACATCACCACTCCCCCGCGAGAGTACAGGCGAGAGAGGGCTGTAAAAGCTATTCGAAACTTAAAAATGGATATTTCCCGCAACATGTTGAAATTACTGTGTGATTTGTTCATTATATTGCCAAACATGTAATATTGTAAACATCATGCTTTATCCACAAAAATAAAGAATAAAAAAAAAAAAAAAAAATGTGTGTGTCTGTCAAGGTATGTGTGTATCTGTTAAAGCGGCACTGTCATGCTGAATCCCGTTTTTTTTTTAACCCCCCTCCCGCCTCCACTACATCTAATTGACCCACTATTCACCCCCAAATGCCCCTAAGCCCCCCAGATTACCTATTTTTTAATCTTTATTTTCTGCCCCGATCTTGATTCAGGGCGCCGCCATCTTTGTGTGGGTAGGTGAAGTCCCTGTGGGACACGTCATCAGCCCACACTAGGCAGACACTGAGATTCCCGCACATGCCCAGTGAAACACCTGGACATGCGAACGGGAATTTCATCTATTCATTCATTCATCAGACAGACGAATGAATGAATAGAAATATCAGCCGAACAAACTAACACTATGTATCAGTGTTTGTTTGTTCGTTCAGTTTATTACAAGGAGGGAGCTACCGGCATGCAGCTCCCTCCTTGTAATATGTAACTATAGAAGCGGCAGGGAGCAGTGCTCCCCACCACTTCATAAGCCCCCCAGGTCCCCCTCTCACTCTATGGGGGTCAATATGACCCCCATAATAGCACAAGGGAGATTAAAATCTCCCAAATGCCCCTACTCGCTATACCGCGAGTAGGGGCATGTCTACTAAACAGTGAGCAGCCTATGGCTGCTCACTGTTGAAAAAAAAGACATAAATTACAATAAGGGGGGGCGGACCTATTGTCCTCCCCCCCTCCCCCACCCTGAGCGGCGGGTGGGGGCCATGAAGATAATGAGGGGGGTGGACCTACTGTCCCCCCCCCGGCCCCCACCACTGAGCGGTGGGTGGGGGCCCTAATAAAACAATTAGGGGGGGGGACCTACTGTCCTCCCCCCCCTGGCCCCCACCCCTGAGCGGTGGGTGGGGGCCCTAATAAAACAATAAGGGGGGGACCTACTGTCCTCCCCGGCCCCCCACCCCTGAGCTGTGGGTGGTGGGGGCCCTAATAAAACAATTAGGGGGGGGGGACCTACTGTCCTCCCCCCTGGCCCCCATCCCTGCGCGGTTGGGGCCCTAATAAAACAATAAGGGGGGGGACCTACTATCCTCCCCCCCCCGGCCCCCACCCCTGAGCGGTGGGTGGGGGCCCTAATAAAACAATAAGGGGGGGGACCTACTGTCCTCCCGCCCCCACCCCTGAGCGGTGGGTGGGGGCCCCAGTAAAGCAATAAGGGGGGGGGACCTACTGTCCTCCCCCCCGGCCCCCACCCCTGCGCGGTGGGTGGGGGACCCTATTAAAACAATAAGGGGGGGGGACCTACTGTCCTCCCACCCTGGCCCCCACCCCTGCGCGGTGGGTGGGGGCCCCAGTAAAGCAATAAGGGGGGACACCTACTGTCCTCCCCCCTTGCCCCCACCCCTGAGCGGCGGGTGGGGGCCATGAAGATAATGAGGGGGGGGGGACCTACTGTCCTCCCCCCCGGCCCCCACCCCTGAGCGGTGGGTGGGGGCCTTAATAAAACAATAAGGGGGGGGGACCTACTGTCCTCCCCCCCCTGGCCCCCACCCCTGAGCGGTGGGTGGGGGCCCTAATAAAACAATTAGGGGGGGGGACCTACTGTCCTCCCCCCCGGCCCCCACCCCTGAGCGGTGGGTGGGGGCCCTATTAAAACAATAAGGGGGGGGGGACCTACTGTCCTCCCCCCTGGCCCCCACCCCTGCGCGGTGGGGGCCCTAATAAAACAATAAGGGGGGGGACCTACTATCCTCCCCCCCCCGCCCCCACCCCTGAGCGGTGGGTGGGGGCCCCAGTAAAGCAATAAGGGGGGGGGACCTACTGACCTACCTACTATTGCCCCAGTAAAGCAATAAGGGGGGGGGGCCTATAAAGTCTTTCCCCGCCCTGCAATTAGGCTTAGAACACTCTGATTGGTGGGTTTAAGCCAATCAGAGTGCTCTGAGTCATTTTACACAGCGTGGGAAAGTTCTTTTGAATTTTCCCACGCTGTGTAAAATGACTCAGAGCACTCTGACTGGGTGGCTTTCAAGCCACCCAATCAGAGTGCTCGGTGTCATTTTACACAGCGTGGGAAAGTTCTTTTGAATTTTCCCACGCTGTGTAAAATGACTCAGAGCACTCTGACTGGGTGGCTTTCAAGCCACCCAATCAGAGTGCTCGGTGTCATTTTACACAGCGTGGGAAAGTTCTTTTGAATTTTCCCACGCTGTGTAAAATGACTCACAACACTCTGATTGGCTTAAACCCACCAATCAGAGTGTTCTAAGCCTAATTGCAGGGCGGGGCAAGGCTTTATAAGCCTTGACCCGCCTTGCGGAGCTCAGTATGCGGCGTGCCCTTGAAGGGCGAACTTGGATTAATTTTTTTTTGCGCTCGTTTTTTTTTTTTTTAAAGTGCGATGGGTGTAATGGATTTTTATTTGGCCTTTTTGGGGGCTGAAGAAAGAAGATTTTAGAAAAAAGAAGACGTCAAATGGTAAGTCTAATTTTTTTTTTTTTACAGGTTAGTTATTTTATTCCCCCCCTCACTATTTGTAGGGTGAGGGGGGTAGGTAGGGGTTAGGTTTTTTTGGGTGGGGGGGTGGTGACTAGGGGCTTGGGACCCCTAGTCACCTTGATTGGAGGGGGGGGGTGTTTCATTTAGGGCCCCCACCCACCGCTCAGGGGTGGGGGACGGGGGGGAGGACAGTAGGTCGGTCCCCCCTTATTGTTTTATTAGGGCCCCCACCCACCGCTCAGGGGGGGAGGACAGTAGGTCCCCCCCCCCTTATTGTTTTATTAGGGCCCCCCCCCACCGCTCAGGGGTGGGGGCCGGGGGGGAGGACAGTAGGTCCCCTCCCTCATTATCTTCATGGCCCCCACCCGCCGCTCAGGGTGGGGGGGGGAGGACAATAGGTCCGCCCCCCCTTATTGTAATTTATGTCATTTTTTTTCAACAGTGAGCAGCCACAGGCTGCTCACTGTTTAGTAGACATGCCCCTACTCGCGGTATAGCGAGTAGGGGCATTTGGGAGATTTTAATCTCCTTTGTGCTATTATGGGGGTCATATTGACCCCCATAGAGTGAGAGGGGGACCTGGGGGGGTTTATGAGGTGGTGGGGAGCACTGCTCCCTGCCGCTTCTATAGTTACATATTACAAGGAGGGAGCTGCACGCCGGTAGCTCCCTCCTTGTAATAAACTGAACGAGCAGACTAACACTTTGGTACATAAGTGTTAGTTTGTTAGGCTGATCTTTCTATTCACTCATTCGTCTGTCTGATGAATGAATGAATAGATGAAATTCCGTGCATGTCAAGCGGGTGTTTTACTGGGCGTATGCTTGAGGGTATCTCGCAGTCTATCTAGTGGGCTGATGGCGTGTCCACAGGGACTTCATCTACCACACAAAGGATGGCGCCCTGAATCCAAGATCGGGGCAGAAAATAAGGATTAAAAAATAGGTAATGTGGGGGGCTTAGGGGCATTTGAGGGTGACTAGTGGGTCAATTGGATGTAGTGGAGGCGGGAGGGGGGTTAAAAAAAAAAAACGGGATTCGGCATGACAGTGCCGCTTTAATAACTGGTTGAACCTCCTTTGGCAGCAATAACTTCAACCAAACGTTTCCTGTAGTTGCAGATCCGACGTGCACAACAGTCAGGAGTAATTCTTGACCATTCCTCTTTACAGAACTGTTTCAGTTCAGCAATATTCTTGGGATCGCTTTCTTGAGGTCATGCCACAGCATCTCAATCGGTTGAGGTCAGGACTCTGACTGGGCTACTTCAAAAGGCGTATTTTCTTATGTTTAAGCCATTCTGTTGCTTCTATGCTTTGGGTCATTGTCCTGTTGCAACACCCATCTTCTGTTGAGCTTCAGCTGGTATGCAGATGGCATTAAGTTCTCCTGCAAAATGTCTTGATAAACTTGGGAATTCATTTTTCCTTCGATGATAGCAATCCGTCCTGGCCCTGACGCAGCAAAGCAGCCCCATGTAACGAGAATATACCCCTACACGCAGGATCCAGCTAAACAGAGGCAAATACAGAGGAGAGATACGTCTACCGGACCTTAGAATGGCCGGACTTGACGTATATGAGAGAAGACAGAGCCAGGAACAAACCGAGGTCAAGGGCACAGAGAGACAGCGTAAACTAGGACAAGCCGGGGTCTGGTACACGGAAAACAGCAAGCCGGCAAACAGTACAGATAAGGATAAAGCGAAAAACGAAGTCAGAATACGAAGCCAAAGTCAATACGAGAAAACACAACTGAACACCACAAGCGCTAAAGGGAACTGAAACAGAAACCACGATAGGGCAAGGAACAAAGGGAAGAAGGTGAGTATAAATACCTAAGCATCTAATTTGATTGGTCCCTGTCATATCCACGCCCCCAAAAGGTAAGTGTATGGGGAGTGTGGCATGACAGGGACCAATGGGATGCCTTTTCCAATTTAGGCACCCACTGTCCCTTTAAGAGCGCGCCCGAGGCTCGCGGCGCGCTCTTAGTTTCAGGCGGGACACGTGACCGCCTCACGCGGTCACTGCCCGCCCTCCATCCGAAGTAGTTGGATGAGCCACGCGCGGCTTGAAGAGAGGACCGCGACCGGCCCCCGGTTAAGGTAAGTAACGCTACAGTACCCCCCCCTGAGGACACGCCCCCCGGGCGGGTAGGACCAGACCTGGCAGGAAACGAGAATGGAAAGAGCGCACAAGACGGGGAGCATGGACAGCATCAGCCGAAATCCAACTGTGCTCCTCAGGTCCATAACCCTTCCAATGTACCAAGTACTGAAGTCGACCCCTAAGGAAACGAGAGTCAAGAACAGCAGACACTTCAAACTCCTCATGACCCTCCACCGAGATAGGAGGGGGAGGAGGAGTATGCCGGGTATAGCGGTTGCGTACGAAAGGTTTCAACAATGAGGTGTGAAAAACATTAGAAATACGTAGATTCTTAGGCAGGCCTAAGGCATAAGAAAC